CGACGGTCGACGAGCGAGATAATTACGACGACGACGACGACCGACGAAGGAGTCAATGACGACGAACCGACGACGACGACGACGACGACGACGACGACGACGACGACGACGACGACGACGACGACGACGACGACGACGACTGACGGCGAACGGCTACCGACGGCCGACGACCGACGACTGGTGACGGCGACGGGTGGAAGGTTTTTCGTTCATCGCTTTCGCTTCCGAGCAATACCAAGTCAGGCCGTGCACCTCTGGCCTGGCAGCACGCGATTGAGCGCCTCTTGGGGCTTCTTGGTTCTTGGGGCTTCTTGGGGGCCTTTGGGGCCTCTTGGGGGCCTCTCGGGGTCCTCTTGGGGGCCTCTTGGGGACCTCTTGGGAGCCTCTGGGGTCCCCTTGGGGGTGCCTCGGGGGCATCTTGGGGGCTCTTGGGGTCATCTTGGGGTGGAGGACTAGAAGGGTTCGTGCGGGTTCACCCTCTTGAGGCCATCTTGGGGGCCTCTCGGGGTCGTCTTGGGGGGCCTCCAGGGCTATATAGGGGCCCTCTTGGACCGTCTTGGCTCTTCTTGGGGGCCTCTTGGGCTGTCTTGGGGCGATCTTGGGGGCCTCTTGGACCGTCTTCGGCGCTTCTAAGACGGAAAAAGGCGATAATGTTAAAATGCTTCAAAACCTATTAGCAACTTTATTATTGTACCCTCTTGGGGCCCATTTGGGGGTCCTCTTGGGATCTCCTTGAGGCGTCTTGGAGGCCTCTTGGGCCGTCTTCAGGCCATCTTGGGCGTCCAGGAGCGCTCTGGGGCCGTTTCGGGCGCCTCCTGGACCGTCTTGGTGGCCTCCTGGGCCCCTTTTGGCACGTCTTGGGACGGTTTGGGATTCCCCGGGGGGGGGGAAGAAAGCGTGGACCCGATGAACCCCCCCCCCCTCCCCTCCCTACCCCGGCAGAGCCCCCCCGGCCCCCCCCCAGCAGAGCTGAAGCTCAGGTTGTAGCTTCCTTAAGCTCACACGCCGGATCGGCGGATATATACGCACTCATACAGTAACACACATGAGTTCTTCAGCATAGTAATGAATGCACCAGTGCTTATGTTTTCATCGGTGATGTCTGGGTCTGTTCTGGTTTTGCAACCATAGGTCGAAAGCGAGGGCGACGGTAAGGCCCCCATGGCCACGAACTCTCAGCATCGTTCAAGAAAGAGGACGGCGACAAGAGCGGTGACACCTTCAGGTCGCCAGAGGGTTGCCACAGCGCTCTATAGCGACGACAGCGACGCCGAGAGAGGCTGGGGGAAGACGGGAGGAGGTGATGAGGAAAAGGGCTGGGGAATGCCACAGGTGTCCCTGACTCCAGGTGTCCCCAAATTCTCGTGCCATCTGCAGCAGTGGTCGACCGAAACGGTGTTTGGGCGATTTCGTGGGCCGTTTTCGTTTCGATTTCGTTTTGCAGCGATGGCGGATTGAAGACAAAACGAGCGAAAAAGAAAACAACACGAAAACAAACAACATTATTTAGGGCGATTCCTGATCTGGACCCCCTGGGGCTCCTCCTGGGCCTCTGAGGAGTGATCTGCAGGCCATCTGGGTCGTTTGTGGACAGCTTGGGCCAGGGACTCCTCCTCGTCCTCCTCGTCGTCCTCCTCCTCCCCGTCCTCCTCCTCCTCGTCCTCCTCCTCGTCCTCCTTCTCGTCCTCCTCCTCGTCCTTCTTCACCACTGGTAGCACCCGAAACGACATCTGCTGCGAGCAGTTGGTTTCGGCTCCGCTGCCATAGCAGAGAGGCCCGCCGATTGCGATGCCGACGCCGATGCTCTCGTTCCCGCATTTGGGGGCCACTCCCTGCAGGTCCCTCGCCGCCACGGTCCGACATGCCTCTGCATTCCTGGTCAGCGCGAGCGGCAGCGGCATGGGTGGGTTTTTTGTTTTTTGCCCTGTCCTGATCTTCCAGCCGCTTTCATTGCTACACGGCCGCCTCCAGCACTGGGAGGAGTCGCCGGCAAACAAAAACAGATGCATGTGGCGGATTCGCGACCTCTCCTCCTTGTCTATCCCTTCCTCTCGCCCGCCACAAGTTTGGACAACTGGCAGGCACATCAGTGACGTCTGACTTCGAGGTCGGAAACTGGAACACCTGCATCACCAGTGGCGGGCTGTTCTCCGATCCCAGGACCTTTTGGAGGGTCGGGGATGACGTCGGGGTGGTGTGTGGTAATTCTAGTTTCCCGCTCCCCAGGGAAACAAGGAAAAATGGATACACCAGGACCCCGTCTGAACCAGGATGTGTGTTGTGATTCTAGTTTCCCGTTCCCCAGGGAAGCAAGGAAAAATGGATACACCAGGACCCCGTCTGCACCAGGACCCGCTGTCCCGTGCAAGTTTCAGTGCGGGGCTGGAAGCAGTGTCGGTGTATAGAGTTTCGGCGACGCGGTGCCGTCGGTCCGCCCCCATATCGGCTATACGTAGCAGTGACCCTTCGCCGGAGTGATCTCCGGTGCGCGGGCCTTTCGCGGGGGGGGAGCGCGGGGTGGCGCAAAAACCCGGGGCAGGATTGCCGCCGCTGTTGCGGCGCTTCCTGCGACCTGTAAGCCGCGTGCCAAGGGTCACCTTTGCCCGGGGGCCGACTGGAGGACTGCGTCCCTGGCGCGTCGCACGTAGGATGGCGATGAGGAAATGCCCCGGGGTGGTCTGCCACGCAGCAGCGCCATGGGCGACGATCAACAAACTAGGTTCCGGGTCTGCTCGAGCGCGTCGTCATCTTCACCGTCGTCGTCGTCGTCGTCGTCGTCGTCGTCGCCGCCGCCGCCGCCGCCGCCGCCGCCGCCGCTGTCGTCGTCATCGTCGTCGTCGTTTTGGGCGTCGTTTTTGTCGTCGTTTTTGTCGTCGTCGTCGTTGTCCCGTCGTCGTCGTCGTCGTCGCTGTCCCGTCGTCGTCGTCGTCGTCGTCGTCGTCGTCGTCGTCGTCGTTGTTTTTGTCGTCGTTTTTGTCGTCGTCGTTTTGTCGTCGTCGGCGTCGTCGTCTTGGGCATTGAGGTTTCTCACCGTCCTGTCCACAACCGTTCCCAGGAGCTAAAAGATCTTCTTTTGCTTGCACCCCCCGGGGGTATCAAGGGTGCCATCGCTTCGGTCGGTTCCGCTACGTCTCAGTTGGTTGCGCTCGGTCGGTTCGGTCGGTCGGTCGTTGTGTCGTTTTTGCGTCGTTCCGTCCGTCCTCGCTGCTCACGGCCCGTCGGCTTTAGTCGGTTTCGGTTTCGCTGCCAGTTCGGTCGGTTTTCGGTTGTGCTGTCGCCGTGGATGCTTTTTTCTTATCGTCATCCTACGTTGTGCGAGCGTCCGCCGGGTCGGACGGAAGGTGGGGCTTGGGAGTGAGGAGGAGGAGGCGGGAGGAGGAGCGAGGAGGAGGAGGAGGAGGAGGAGGAGGAGGAGAAGGAGGAGGATGGGGAGGAGGGAGGAGAAGGAGGGAGGAGGAGGAGAAAGGAGAAGGAGGAGGTGCAGGTTGAGCGGGGATGAAATCTGCTGCGCCCAGCTGGTTTCGGCTCTGCCACCAGGCGCATTTCTCTATGCATGGCCGCTCCGGCGCCGGGAGGGGCCAGGAAAGTCAGACCTCTCCGGCGCGACCGTATTTCCCGTTTGCGTCCGCCCACATTGTTTTTTCAACCGCCATCCTGCATGATCCACAAAAGGCATCTATACACCACCACGTTGCCTGGCCAGGGCGACCCTGGGCCCCAAGATTGTGTATGGATCTTTTTGCATCGGCCAGGAGGGCGTATACACCATGCCATGGCCCAGGATGGCCCTGGCCAGGCAAGACGGCTCGAGCCATGCACCTTGGCCTTTGAAGTTCCGCATGCAGGTGGAAGGGCAGGAATGTAACTTCAAATTCTAGACGTTTCGCGTAACCCCACCAGTTCCTGCCGCCTGACCGCGGCTTCGCGCGCGCCCTCCGCTAGACGCGGCCGCAGCCGGACCGCGACCGCCCGCCGCCGGCGCTTCCGCCTGCGGCTGTAAGAAAATAAAAAAGTAACCCCACCAGCCTGCGGATTTTTACTGCAGGTGCATTGCCTGTTGTAGCTAATTAGCTTCGCCTGCTGGCCCAGACGACGCCTACCGCTCCCTGTCCGCCGCCTCGGAGCCGCCGACCAAAAAAGTAACCCCACCAGCCCATCCAGTAACGATGCCCAGAGGAAGTGTCTCGATCAGGGAAGTGGGCAGCACACGGAGGAAGGGTCCCCCAGTGGAGGCCTCTTGGAGCGTCTTGGGGGCCTCTTGGCGGTCCCGGACGCCTCTTAGAGCGTCTTGGGTGCCTCGGAGAACTTCTTGGGGCCTCTTGGGGGTCTCTTTGGGGGCCTCTCGGAGGCCTCTGGGGCGCCTGTTGGGGCCTCCTGGGCGCCTCTTGGGGCCCTCTTGAAGCGCTCTTGGGAGCCTTGGGAGCGCTCTTGGAGTCCTCTTGGGCCATCTTGGAGTCATCGTGAAGCCTCGGATGGCCATCGGAAGCGAAAAGGGAATAATGCCCCAAACATTGTTTTCCCTAAAGTTTGGGAAGGATTTTGGCCTCTTCGGGGCCTCCTGGGTGAGCTCATTGGCCACTTGGAGCAGTCTTGAAGCAGTCTTGGGGCCTCTTGGAGCATCGTGGGAACCATCTTGAGGCATCTTGAGATATCTTGAGCCATCTTGGAGGTCATCTTGGGCTCTCCCAGGCGCTCTTGGGGTCATCTGAAGCAGTGCCCCCCCCAGGAGGCCCAAATGTGGCCAACACCTGGGTAAAATCAATGATTTTGGCAGTCTCGCCGAGGCCTCTTGGAGCGTCTTGGGTGCCTCTGGGGGGCCTCTTGAGGCCTCTTGGGGGTCTCTTGGGAGCCTCTTGGGGGCATCCTGGGGGCCTCTTGGGGGCTTCTTGGGGCCAAGTGGGGCCATCTTGGGGCCATCTCGGGGCCTCTTGGGCCTCCTGGGCGCCTCTTTGGGCCATCTTGGAGGAGATCGATCACAGGAGGGGGGGGACTCAATTAGCCCCGCCCCCCTCAAGAGGCCAACATGGGGCCCAATTCTTAGTAAAACCAATGAGTTTGGCTTCCTCGCCGAGGCCGTTTTGGACGCTCCAACGCGTCGGGGAACCCCCCGTCGAGGTCCAGGGGAGGGGGTAGGGGGAGAGGTCAAGACTCCCTCTCCGCCCGCAAGCCGTCTCTCTCACTCCCACCCGCCCTCCCAGCACATACGTAGCACCCGAGCCTGGCCCGAGCCGCAGCATATTTAGCAGTCGTCTTTGGATGTGCAGCTACTGGGGTCGAATCCGCCGCCGCCGCCGCCGCCTCCGCCGCCGCCGTCGCCGCCCGCCGCCGCGCCGCCGCGCGCCGCCGCCGCCGCCGCCCCGCCGCCGCCGCGCCGCGCCGCCCGCCGCCGTCCGCTGCCGCCGCCGCGCCAGCCGCCGCCGCCGCCGCCGCCGCCGTCGCCCGCCCGCTGCCGAATCGCCTCCGCCGCAGCCGCTGCCGCCGCAGCCGCTGCCGCCCACCGCTGCCACCGCCGCCGCCGCCGCCACCTCCGCCGCCGCCGCCGCCGCCGCCCCCGCCGCCGCCGCCGCCACCGCCGCCGCCACCGCCGCAGCCGCCGCAGCCGCTGCCCCCGCCGCAGCCGCCGCCGCCGCCAAATGTATTCTGTATCGTTCTTTGACAGGGATGGTAGGGGGGAGGTCGCATCGGGTTCGCTGCGCATGCTCCGAATTTGGAGGCAAAGTGTATTCCGTATTGTTTTGAATATGGGGTGGTGGGGGGGCCGCATTGTCCCTGGTCGGCTCCCAGTCGCCTGGGGGAGGGGGTGTATATTAATAGGGAACAGTGATAAACCCTTCCCCGAAGGGGAAGAAGGAGGGGTAACAGAGGAACCGCTCTAGACCACCTACACTCAAAAAGGCTGGTGGGATTTAGGGATAACTCTTTGTTGCCATGTTTGATCCGACATCTTTAATCTGATAATGTACCAGAGTTCCCTTCCGTTTCATCTGTCTCTTCCCCATTCCCGCCCTACCTTGCGAATTATTCCCCATCCTCCTCAGCCGTTTTTGCGGAGGCTCCTTCTCGGAGAGCGTCTTGGAGACTTCACGAAAGTTGGTAAGGACTTCTTGGGGCCCTCCAGAGGTCTCCTGGGCGCCTGCTAGGAGCCTCTGGGGCCTTCCTCGGGCCGCCCTGCTTCCAACCGCGGTCTCCCTGAGCGACTGGGTCACGCTTTGGAATCTTTCGGGGGGCATCTTGGGGCGTCATGGGGTTATCTTCGGGCCATCCTCGGACCCTGTTGGTCCGTCTTGGAACTTGCTTGAACTGCTCGGGAGCCCTTTCGGGTAGTTTTGCCACGATGTTCGGGCCTCCTGGGCGATCTCGGGCGCCACGAAGAAAACAGAGCATTTCCAAAATCATACGAAAACCATGGGGAATCATGTCTCTTTCATGTCGCAAGCGTCTCTGGTGTCTTCTTTGGATCGTTTTCGGGCGTCTGGTGGGTGTCTGGGGCCTCTTTGGGCCCTCGGGGCGCCGTTCGGCGGCCCTCGTGACCGATTTGGGCCCGCTGTCTTGGCCAAGCAGGAGCTCACAGGAGCGCCAGAAGGCTAGGAGGCCTTTGCAGGGGCGTGCAGGGGGGTCTTGGGGCTTCGGGCTCCCGGGGTCCAGGTTTAGGGTGATGTGGGGTGGGGTTTGGGGGCCCCCCCCCCCCCCCCCCCTCCGGGCTTTTAAGCATACAGGAGGAGGCATACATGTGTACGTATTTATTTGCATCTGCATGTGCAGTTTGAGATATATATATATATATATATATATATATGTGTGTGTGTATACACACGCATCGTATACATACGCATGTACATTTACACATACATACATTCATACATACACACATACACACATGTATACGTACATATGCACATGTCAGCCTGCCCAACCACAGACATACACATACATACACACGTCCATACATACACACATACACACATAAACACATACGCACGTACATACATACATACACAAACACATGCACATGCACATACACATACACATACACATGCACGTGCACATGCACATGCATATACACATAGATACACACATGCATACATTGATGCGTACGTGTGTATATATATATATATGTATAAGCATTGATATACACCCATACACATAGAAACTGACCTGGCACAACTCTGGGCCCGACCGCGGAGCATGTTTCTGGAGCGCCCCAAAAGGCCCAAGACGACCCCAGATGGCCCCAAGACGGCCCCAGAGGTTCCCATGAGGCTTCAGGAGGGCCCGACGAGCGCCCCCAGACGGCCACGATGGGTTCAAGATGACCCAATATTGGCACTGGACGGCCCTTCCGCAAAAAGGACTGAGGAGGATGGGGAAGAATTCGCAGGGTAGAGTGAGAAGAGGGAAGGGGAAGAGGAAACCTGAGAGAACGATGATGAACAACATTGTTATAACGGCGATGGCGGAAAAAGACAACAAGGCGTTATCGTTGAGTTGTCTGTTCTACCTTCCTGCCCTTCCGCCTGCATGCCAAACTTCAAGGGCCAAGGTGCATGGCGCGAAGCGCCAAAGCAGTCTTGTATATACATTTATATAGATATATGCATTTACATGTGTGTTTATATATATATATTATTTATGTACAGATCTAGATGTGTATCTTTATGTGCAGTTGTACGCGTACATCTTAGACATATATACCATTTTTTGTGTATGTTCGTATGTATGCATGTATGTCGGTCTATCTGCCTGTCTGCCTGTCTGCATGAATGCATGCATGTATGTATGTATGCATGCATGCATTGGGCGCTGTATGTATGTATGTATGTATGTATGTATGTATGTGTGTATGTATGTAGACGTGTACTCTGATGGTGCCCGTGCCATCCATCTCTGCCGCCCTGCCCCCGAGCGAGCGCGGAGGCCAGTGGCGGTGCCGGGCCCGAGGGGGCGCCCACGGCCGCCGCTGGCGCGGAGGGCGCGGCGCAGGCGGTGCCGCTGGGCGTCGGCAGAAGTCATCGTCGCCGAAGCCGCCCCACCCCCCAAGCGCAGGATCTTTTGTCCAATCCCCATCCCCATCCCCATCTGTGGGAAAAAACACAAGACTGCGGGGAAAGAAAAAAACACACAAAACACAAACCAAAGAAAAAACACGCACTGTGGGAAACAAAAACACACACGGTGGGAAAAAAAAACACACACACATTGGGAAAAACACGCACACACATGCGGGAATAAAGCACAAACAACAAACAAAAAAACAAACAAAAACACAACAAACACAAACAAACACACGCATTCCCTTCGAGACCCCCACCAAATTACCACCCCAGTTGGGGATACACCCCTCGAACCCCGAAGGGGACGGCCTGTATCCCCATCTAGGGGGGTAAATCGGCCAGTGGGGCCCAGGCCATGCCGCTGGGGATGGGGATCGGATAAACGATACTCATAATCGTCGCCGAAGCCGTCCCACCCCCTACTGCGGCGGCGAGCCGAGGAGGGAAGTGAGAGTGGGCAGGCCTTCTCCGAAGGCGGCGGGGCTTCCAAGAAGCCCTCGGGCCTTTGAGGAGAAACAGTCGGTGGTTTCGGAGGTGCCTGAAACAGAAACCTCGCAGAAGGCCGGAGGCCTTCTGAGTCTTCTCAGAAGGCCCGCCTCCTTTGCCTTCCCCTCTTTGGGCGCTCCTCCGAGTAAATCATCGTCGTCTGAAGCATCCCGCCCCCTGCTGCGACAGGGTGTGGTGGCTCTCCCTGCGTACCCCTCCCTCTGGTGGGGACGGGTGCTGTGCGAAGCCCGCAGGAGGTGGCACCAATCCCCGCGTAGGAGGGGAGGGGAGGGCCATCCAGCGGGGCCCAGGTTTCGACGATGACGACGACGACGACGACTTCGACGACGACGGCGATGACGATGCCGATGACGGCGACGGCGACGGCGACGGCGTCGGCGACGGCGAAGGCCACGGCGACGGCGACGGCGACGGCGCAAGCGACGGCGACGGCGATAACGACGGCTACGGCCACGGCGACGGCGACGGCGACGGCGACGGCGACGGCGATGACAACGGCGACAACAACAACCACGGCGTCGACGACGACAACGACAGCCACGACGACGGTGGCGACGGTGGCGGCGGCGGCGACGACGACGATATTGCTGATGATGATTGTGATGCTGATGACGATGAAGATGGCGATGACGATGACAATGGCGATGACGATGATGATGACGATGCTGATGATGATGACGACGATGATGATGATGCTGATGATGATGATGCTGCTGCTGCTGATGATGATGATGATGATGATGATGATGATGATAGTGATGATGATGAGGATGATGATGATGGTGGTGATGATGATGACGATGATGCTGATGATGATGTTTTGTATTATCATTTTTATTCCCAACCATCCTGTGGTGTTGGGTCCTCGTTTTGAAGAGACGGCGCCCCGCGTTCGACTCCTTTCCTCCTCCCCTCCTCCCTCCCGCTCTTTTCTCTCCTCCCTCCTCTCTGCGTTCCACCCACCCAGTACAGCGTTTCGTGGCCCCATAGGGAGCCCAACTGAAGGTCCCAGTGCTACCGTCCGCCTGCGTCCCGCGCACCCAGTACAGCGTTTCGTGGCCCCCTCCTCCCTCCCCCCCGGGTTTCACCCACCCAGTACAGCGTTTCGTGGCCCCATAGGAAGCCACACCGAAGGTCCCAGTGCTACAGTCCGCATGCGTCCTACACACGCAGTACAGCGTCCCGTGGCCCCATAGGGAGCCCCACCGAAGGTCCCAATGCTACTGTCCGCATGCGTCCCGCACACCCACTACAGCGTCTCGGGGCCCCATAGGGAGCCCCACCGACGGCCCCAGTAGGACCGCCAGCATGCGTCCCGAAAACACAATTGGGCATTTTTGCCTACCCAGTACAGCGATTCGTGGCCCCATAGGGAGCTCCGCCGAAGGTCCCAGTGCCATCGTCCGCATGCGTCCCGAAAGCCAAATTTGGCATTTTCGCCCACCCAGTAAAGCGTTTCGCCCACAGGGACCTCTACCGAAGCCCCCGGTGGGACCGCCCGCATGCGCCCCGAAACCCAATTTGGCATTTTCACCCACGGAGTACGGCGCTTCGTGGCCCCATAGGGAGCTCCACCGAAGACCGCAGTGCCACCGTCCGCATGCGTCTCGAAAACTTCATTTGGCATTTTCGCCCACCCCGCAGTGGGACCGCCCGCATGCGTCCCACAGACCAAATTTGGCATTTCCACCCGCCGGGTGCAATGTTTCGTGGCCCCGTAGGAGGCCCCACCGAAGCCCCAAGTGAGAGCGCCCGCATGCGTCCCACACACCTTATTTGGCATTTTCGCCCACCCAGCATAGCGCTTCGTGCAGTGGGACTGTCCGCATGCGTCCCGAAAACGCAATTTGGTATTCTCTGACACAGTACAGCGTTTCGTGGCCCCATAGGGGGCTCCACCGAAGCCCCCAGTGGGACCGCCCGCGTGCGTTGCACACACCCACTTCTGTTTTTTTTTTCGCCCATCCAGTACAGTGTTTCGAGGCCCCATACGGAGCTCCACCGAACCCCCCACTGGGACCGCCCGCATGCGTCTCACACACTCAGCTTGCCGTTTTCATCCATCCAGTACAGCGCTTCGTGGCCCCACAGGGAGTTCCACCGACGGCCCCAGTGCTACCGCCCGCATGCGTTCCCCCCCACACAGTGCAGCGCTTCGTGGCACCATCGGGAGCTTCAACGAAGAAGATATTCACAATTGCGGTACCCACAACTGCATATGGTTGGGTCCTTCGCCAGGATAATTTTCTCATCCGTCCTGTGGTGTTGGGTCCTCGGTTTGAACGGTCCCACCGTTCCTCCTTCCTCCTTCCTTCCTCCACCTCCTCCCCCTCCTCCCTCCTCCGTGCGTTTTACCCACCCAGTAGAGTGTTTCATGGCCCCATAGGGAACTCCACCGAAGCCCCCAGTACTACCGTCCGGGACGCATGGATTTTGCATTTCCACCCACCCAGGACAGCGCTTCGTGGCCCCATATGGAGCTGCACCAAAGCCCCCAGTGGGACCGTCCGGGACGCATGGATTTGGCATTTTCACCCACCCAATACAGAGTTTCGTGGCCCCATGGGGAGCTCCACCGAAACGTCCAGTGCTACCGTCCGGGATTCATGAATCTGGCATTTTCGCCCACCCACTACAGCGCTTCGTGGCCCCACATGGAGCTCCACCGAAGCCCCCAGTGGGACCGTCCGGGACGCATGAATTTGGCATTTTCACCTGCCCAGTACAGCGCTTCGTGGCCTCATAGGGAGCTCCACCGAAGCCCCCAGTAGGACCGTCCGGGACGCATGGATTTAGCATTTTCACCCACCCAATACAGCGCTTCGTTGCCCCATTGGGAGTTCTACCGCAGCCCCCAGTGCCACCGTCCAGAACGCATGACTTTTGCATTTTCGCCTACCCAGAACAGCGCTTCGTGGCCCCGTAGGGAGCTCCACCGAAGCCCCCAGGGGGACCGTCGAGGACGCATGAATCTGGCATTTCCACCCGACCCGCCCAGTACAGCGTTTCGTGGCCCCATAAGGAGCTCCACCGAAGCCCAAAGTCGGACCGCCCGCGTGCGTCCCCCCCCGACACACAGACACAAACACACACACACACACCCACACACACACACACCCACACGCACGCACGCACGCACGCACGCACTCACGCACGCACACACACACACCCACACACCCACACACCCACACACCCACACACCCACACACCCACACACCCACACACCCACACACCCACACACCCACACACCCACACACCCACACACCCACACACCCACACACCCACACACCCACCCACACACCACACACCCACCACACCCACACACCCACACACCCACACACCCACACACCCACACCCCACACACCCACACACCCACCACCGCCCACACGCCCACACACCCACAACACCACACCCCACACACCCACACACCCACACACCCACCCACACCCCCACACACACACACCCACACACCCAACACCCATTTCCACACACCACACAACCTTACCACCCACACACCCAACACCCACACACCACACACACCCACAACGTACACACAGCCACACCCCCACCACCCCCACACCCACACACCCCACCACCACACACACAACCACCACCCCCACTACCCCCACACCCCCACACACCCCCACCACACGCCACACCCCCACAAACACCCCCCCACATCCCCACAACCCCCACCCCACCACCCCCACCACCCCCACAACCCCACAACCCCACCACACATCCCACACCACACAACTCCCGCACAACCCCTCACACTCCTGCACACCCACAAACACACACACCCACACACACACACACACACCACCACACACCCACACCCCCACACACCCACACAACCTTTACACACCTTACACACCTACACACACCACACCACCACCAGCAACACCCACACCCCACACCCACACCCACACCCACGCACCCACACCCACGCACCCACACCCACGCACCCAAACCCACGCAACCCACATCACGCACCCACACCACCCACCCCACCCCACGCACCCACACCCACACACCCACACCCACGCACCACACCCACGCACCCACACCCACGCACCCACACCCACGCACCCACACCCACGCACCCCACACCCACACCCACGCACCCACACGCACCCACACCCACGCACCCACACCCACGCACCACACCCACGCACAACACCCACGCACCACACCCACGCACCACACCTACGCACCACATCCACGCACCAACGCACGCACGCACGCACCCACGCATGCCTCACTCACGCACGGACGCACGCACGCCCGCCCGCCCGCACGCTCGCCTGCCCGCCCGCCCGCCAGCCCGCCCGCCAGCCCGCCCGCCCGCTCGCGCGCGCGCGCGCACGCACGCACGCACGCGCACGCACGCGCACGCACACGCGCACGCGCACGCACACGCAC